TTGGAATGACATGAGGGTGAGTAAAGTATGACACAATTTTCATTTTAGGGCAACTATCCCTTTAAGACTAATAGTCTAGATCAGGCTTTGCATGCAAACAGACACTAATATTGTGTCTTTAATACTTACCAATACTTGGCTTTAAAAAATAACTTATAATAACCTCCACATACTTAATAATAACCTTCATATACTTCAGTGTTTTGCCTTTTTGTTAGATAAAAATAAAAATACACAGTCATGCAGAGTATTTATTAATTAGGAACTTAATTACTGAATTACTTAATCAGTTGTTTAAATTTTAGCAACAGAAAACGCATAGATGTGATTAATTTCCAAGATGGTACTTTTATTGCACCTGAAGTGACTCAAAAATAGGGACCCACCTATATTAGCATTTTGGCTAATAACGATAAGCTGATAATTATTTCAGAAATTTCAGAAAATGTGGAAATAGCACGTGTTTATAACCCCAAAAATTCAGTTCAACTTATCAGTCCAACTTATGGTCAAGTTCAGTGTCCCTTTTGTTGTCTGAATGCTCATTTGGGATGTTTTCAGTTTAAGATCAACTACAAAATAGCTGGCCTTAAAAACGGCAACAAAGTACTATTTGTCATTTAAGGATATCAGACTTGCTGAAAGTAGGCTTTTAGTGCAATCGGTAGTGATGTAAACTCCCTCCTTTTTCTCCTCCCTTGTTAGGAATTCCCTAATGGTTCCTGTCATCTAGCCATAGTGCTTGTTTCCTCTTTCTCATCCAGCCAGAAGTAAAGTTTACCTGCCCACTCTTCTAATCTATATCGTGCACTTCTAACCCAGAGAGAAAAGACAGTGTCCCTTCTGTCCTCCATATCTCTCAACCTCTTTAGTGCTCCTTTTATCAATGTAAAATAATTACCTTGAGGAAACATGACTGAGGTACAAGATGGGTCAGGCAGAGCATCACTCTTCTCTTCTCCTGTGCCAGCCTGAGCCCTGGCAGCCTCACTAACCATATATAAAGGAATTTCTCTGAGAACTTTATATCAGTTTCAGTGTTTATCCCCCCCAGCCCCCCTTCATCCACATCTACCAGCACCACCAGCTACCAGATGCCAGGCATTCCACTTTAAGGTTACAGGAGACAAAGGTTGGGCTCCATCACCCGAATAATATGTCACATTGAAACTAAGCCAAGTGCCAGGGCCTTGTCGTGTAAACAGTAATAGGAGTAAAACAGTAATGTTGTGCATTTCACAATTTAAAATTTTCTATTTTAATATATATTTAATGTAATTTATTCCTGTGATGGCAAAGCTGAATTTTCAGCAGCCGTTACTGCAGTCTCTTCTGTGTCACCACTGATCCATAAGAAATCATTCTCATTTGCTGCTCAAGAAACATTTCTTCTCATTATCAATGTTGAAAACAGTTGTGCTTCTTGGAATTTTTGTGGAAATAGAAACCTTTCTTAATATTATAAATCTCTTTAGTGTCACTTTGGATCAATTTAATGTGTCCTTTAATGTGACTCACATTTTGTCTATGTTCACAAAGTGGCCATCTTGAAATATAGTGCCAGCACATTTAATGGTGGTTTTGCATCCTTTTTTTATTTTGATAAGTAATCTTTGGCTTGGTCCCAATGTATATCATCTTATTGTTACGTTCATAAGCCCTCAAGACAACCTTAATTTGTAAATTTAAATGCATGTTCAGTGGTTGTCTAGTGCCTCTAGTGGTGTGGTGGTGCCTTTTCCTCTGGTTCCTCGTTCCTAATAGCTCTGCTGAGAGGTAATGGGCTGTGAAAGTGCTTAGGTTCCACCCAAAACATATTAACATACAAGGACACAGTGAGTCCTTCAGTAAAACACACACAGGCCCACACATGAGCTCTGACTCAGAAAACTGGAGCCTTGGGTGGGGTGTCAACCGTCGCAGGTGTCACAGCTTACTTTTAGCAGTCGTTCCTGGCAGTCGTGTAAAGCAAAACAGCTTTTCTGATGGAATGCCGTGGCATTCAGATTTGTGATGGCTGTTTATTTTTATATACTTCGCTCACGGAACATGACGGTGAAAGAGTAGGGAAACTCTTATTACCAGGAGTGTTTCCACGGGTCAATTTCACCTTGTAAAGGCAGGGTGGAGGTGGTGAGGTCAGCTGGTTTGTGAATGAGCTCCAGTGGCAGGCCTTCCCTTCTACTCCCCAAGTCACTTCACTGAGATGTGTAAAAAAAACACCCTGACACCTGGGTGTGAATGGCAGCCTGCAACTCAAAACCGCACACACAGGATACTATTGATGACATCACATGAAGACGCACGGAAAACTCATCCGTTCCTCTGTAAAGACTGTAAGGGTCTCTTCAATGCAAGTAAGAATTTCCAATTCCCCATTTGTTGACACTGATGATGTCATATGATTAATGAGCCCATATTATGACAGTTGTTGATTCACAATCCTCAAAATAGGATAAGCTTTTTTCCCTTTAAGTTGTTGAAAGTGTCTTTCTTACACAAATGTGTATTTTTTTTATAAAGCAATGATTCTCCACATTTTTTACTTAATGGCTAACAGTTTTCGAGCCCCCATGATCTTTTCCATTTGACCTTTCAAGGTCTTCTTCTTTTCTTTTTTTCTTCTTTTTTTTTTGGTTAACGGTTCCTTTACCAGTGACATTGAGTAGTTTTATAAATCCTCCATCAGCTATAGCAAGAACAGACTATGTTCCAGACATTTCTATTGACATTGAAGTGAAGGAAATCAAGACCTGAAGTGGTTCGTTGAAGGATCCTTGACTATTTACATCGGTTAATGGCATGATCAGCAGCTAAGATTAGTAAGTTAAGTTTAAGAGAAAAACCGAGGTCTGTTTTCCCTTTGCAGAGCCCTATTCATACTCATTTCAATATCTGATAATCTTTGAGTAACTCTCATTGAGAAAATTGCTTGGATAGATCAAACAAACCGGCAAAGAACACGAAAAGCCATTGCTATTAAAGTTTGTGGCTAATGATGGTCTTCAAAGCCCCCAACCCACTGAGGAGAGCGGTCATTACAAAAATATGCTTATCCTCATAGGAAACAGTTCACCTGGTCATGAAAACTAAGAGCTTAGTCTCGCCCCACTCCTTTTAATCACGCATATTCAGAGGTAGCCAACAACATGGTTCAAGAACACAATAGGTTATGTTTATCCAGCGCTAGTAAAGGTTTGAATTCACACGAAAGCACTAAGCCTACTCTTAATGGAATATTTGGGTTCAATGTGAGTTAAGATCATTTGACAGCATTTTTGCCATGTTGATTGCCCAAAAAAAAAAAAATATTAAAAGGTTTTATTAAAAAAGAAAAGTCGATGGGCTTGCAATGGAAGAGAATGGGGCCACTTTAAAAGCAGAAATGTGAAGATTATAATTTTATTAAATGCTATCGATTGAGCCTAACTTGTATTGAACCTGAAATGCTCCTTTAATCAAGATATAGTGTGTATGTATTTTTCTATAATTTTAAGTCTAATTCACATTGCACCAACCAACGCAGACAGACACGTTCTTCAGGTTTTGTCGGATCAGTATGTCACCCCTTTCGATGTCTGTTGCCGTTGGTAGACACTAGTTTTCGAGTTTTCAGATTACAGTATGTCATTTCTTAGACGGTTCTACGACGCGACAAACGAATATCTGGCGACTCCAAAACAAGTGTCTGCCAATGGCAACAGACATTGAAAGGGGTATCATACTGATCCAACAAAACCTGACGAATATGTCTGTAATGTTGGTGCAGTGTGAATTAGCCCATAATTTGCTTCATCACTTTCAGGTTTTATCATGCTGGTTAAAACCAATGAATTGCTGAACACAAATGTGTTTTCTTGACCTTTGGGTCCAACTTTCAAAGCCCACCATGTGAACGTAGTGCATATAAACAGGTCAGTAATTAGCCGCGTGCCTCTTTATTGTCTGTTCCATTACTTACGAGACACACAAACTCAGATTAGCATCTGATAACGCACCTAATATCCAACCATGTCAGGGGCTGCATGGATGGAAGGTATCCAGTGCCTAGTCTTAGCCGTAGCTCCCTCCGAGCACAATGCCCCACTTGTTGCTCCGTCTCCTCTGGCATTATCCAAAGCTATATCAGGCCCTACCCGAGGCTTCAAATCCCCCATTTTTCAATGTGCGCTCAATCTAATCTTGGGTTTTTTGATTGGATATTATGATAAAGTTGGTGTTGCAAATTATCTACAGTTCGTATATGTTGCACAGTGGCTAATTGGAACTGAATGAGCTCATTGTTAGTGGGATCAGATTAGGAGCAGAGCGCCGCGATGATGGTTCATTTAGGTCTAGATAACATATTATGTAACACTGCTTGTCCTTACACACTCTTCACATAATTATCCAAAATAATTAAGGGATTTTTATTCCAGGAGAATTCAAATCTGGTAATAGGGGCTATTAACTGTGTTAATGTGTATCTCGAATTGTAGCCTCAAAACGTTGCTTTACACATTCTGAATTAAGCATTTGTACATATTATCATAGCAATTCATCCGGGAAAGGTTCCACTTGGGAACTGTTGCTAAGTGGTTCACAGTCTAGATCAGTCAGCCAAGAAATGTAATCTCATCTCATAAAACTGATTGGTTTAATTGGCTGAGAGTCTGGCAAGATTACACAAAAACAGACTTCCACTGTACTTATTGCTGCATACGTGCTTATAATCTTGTGCCGTAACGTCTAGGACAGCAAATTTGAGGCATTTTGTGAAAGAATGCTTTCGCTGAGGTGAAATAGATGCACTGCGAGCTGCGCCAGCACTGCGTGAATTTTCCAAAAGGTGCTTTCTGGGAAAGATTTGTCTGTTTGTATGAGTGCAAGCATTTGTTTGCAGATGTTTATGTTGGAGGTGGGAAAACAAGAGCTTAAATGGTTACCGGGAAAAGAGGAGGGGTGCATATCCATCCCTTTACTCCACCTACCCCACCCCATCCTCTATACTGGTTCCTTATTCTACCCGGCTGCAGACATTTGCCTTTTATATGGAGGGTACCAGTGAAACAATCCACTCTCTCTGTTTGGAAAAAAATACTTGCAAGAAAAGAGACTGGGAGCTTCCAGGTGCTTTGCCCCCAGTTAAAAGCCCTTTAAGGAGGTCCTCTTCTTGCCTGGAGTCAGGAGAGCCACTGCCTAGTGAAGTCGAGCACCCTGCCTCTCACATTCTCCCTCTCCCTCTCTCTCTTTCTTTCTCTCTCTCTCCCTCCTACTTTCCACCCTGTGAGAGTGCACAGAGATTCAGAAGGTGCGTCTGAAATCTACTTGTATCCAGTCTGGAGACAACACCACAAGGACTTTTTTCCCCTTCACTGCGACAAGCACATGGACTTAATTTTCTCCAGAGACAGAAGTAAGAACAAGAACCAGATTGTCACCTGCCATTGAGAACCAGAACTTTCTCTAGAGTTGTATTCGTCCTTTCTACTCGTATGTAAACACTGTTTGACTGCGACCAAGTGCCAAGGCATTCCCGAGACTTCCCTGTCTGCTGGGTTCCCATCACATCTTCTCAAGTTATTTCTCCAGAGATGACTGTCTGAAGAGGGAACAGAGAAAAGAAACCACCTGACCTGCAGAAGTTACCTGCCTGAGAAATTGAGGTGAAACAGAAGGGTGAGGTAAGTTCATATCTGAATCTTTCATTTTCCTTCCCTCTGGGTGCAGGCATATGTCATCTTTGAAAATGTTTTTCATATCCCGTTGCTTCACAGCAATTGAATCCAAATGCAAGACGGAGAGAGAGAGAGAGAGAAAGGGAGGAAAAACAGTCGGGTTTACATCTCAATCATGAGACCAACATAATTATCTGCGCACTGCTACACACAAGGCAGATTAACTGAATGTTTTAGTGCTCTAGCCCCATTAATCTCTGCAAAACATGTGGCGTATTTTTCTAAACAGAGCCATGTGGCTACCATTGCATTTATGCTGATGCTGGTTGTGTGTGTTTGTGTGTGCTTGTGGCTGTATAGGTTGTGTGGTTCAGGTAGTGTGGTAGGTCACACAGCTGTTTTGAAGTTGGAGAGGGAGAGAGTTATATAACTGCAGCAGCCTCGCTCTAACTGACACCTGGGACTGTTTGGTCTGCACTCTGTTGCGCACCAATGCCACTCACTTAAATTTTAGCTCCACCCACAGGATTCTCAAGTCCCTGCCCAATTTTTAGCTTCAGAAATTGATGCGTTTTGACCTTTTAGACAGTCCACTTCAGAGGTTAAAATGTCACTTTCAATCAGCTCGTCTGAAAGTCAAAATGAAACCAAATTGGAAGTAATTTATTATTATTATTATTATTAAAGTGTTGCATGTTTTGCCCTGTTAGACATAGTCCACTTCAGAGGTTAAAATCGCACATTAAATAGTTTCTTTTAAAGTCCACATGAAACCAAAATTTACCCTATTTATTATTAATAAAAATGATTATGATGATGATTATTATTATTTATTGTTGTTTGTTCATAATTATTATTATTATTATTATTATTTAACAAACATTCATTGTCCTATTTTGAATGATTCCTTGGTTGCCATTCTTCAGAATTTTACAAAAAATGTCTTCATAATCATTCCACATAATGTAATGGCTTGCTCCGCCTTCACTGCTGATTTCACAAATACCCATTTTTTTCTCAGCCACCCCTCTCCAACCACCTGCCTTTGTTTTCATATACAACGCCCACTTTTTCACGATCCAATCCGTTTTTATGGATAGAATTAGTCCCGCCTTACATTGTTTCTCTTTTTAAATAACCTTAACAATATAAAATATATCAGGTTATGGAAGTAAAATGAGTTGCAAACAGCATTTCTTGTTGACTTGAGTGGAAAAGTCGTATTTTCAACTTTAGATGTAGCTTCATCAGCAGTAGTTATGTTCTCACATCAGCAAGTTTTGTACATGATGTTATGTCATAATATGTCAAAAAAGGTCTAAAAGAGCTTCTTTGTAGTGTTTAAGCTTTTCTACACATAATCAACTACTGCACATGGCATGAGCTGCAGTCTTAATTTCAGACGGAGAGTGAGAGAGAACTGTGAGAGAGAAGGGAATGTGCTTTCATAATACATTCTTCACCAAGAGCACTGGGGAATAGTATTCAATAATACTTTTTTCTCGTCTGAGTAGCAGGGCCCAGCTTCTACAGAACTGAAACAGACCCAGTCTGGAAAAGACGACATGCTCTCTTCTAAAAACATTTGGCGCCTCAGCATGATGGCTTTCAGGAGGGAGAAGCGGTTTAGGTCTGACTGCAAACTTGTGCATCAGTGCCGTTAGCGCTACCACATTACACAAGCCTCCAAGGTGACCTGAACCCCTGAGTGGAAAAAAGAGGTTAGAGAAAAAGTGTCTGAGACACTCCACAGAGCGAGGGCCCATCATCCTCCTCACACACTTCCGATTCCTGCGGCTGGAAATGGTCCAAAGCTTCTAGATGGGATGCTGTCTGTGCTTAGTCATCTGTGAAGTATGATGTGATTTTATGATGGATGCGTCTCATCTGGTCCTGTTATCAGGAGATGCAGCAGACAGCGTCCCACCTTTCTGTGTACAATTACAGCGATAGCTTCAATCTACCAAACACCTAACTCCCCCAAACACACTTTGAACCTTCTCTCCATATGTGCATTTCAGTTAGGTGAAGCCAAGGGGATCTTTAATACCTGCAGAAAGCTATCCGTTTCGCATTAGCAGTTTATCTTTCAATTTTTAAATCTGCCATTTTTGCTCTTGGGACCACAGAACTTTTTCAGCCAATTACACGAGCTGAAAATGACATCATGAACAGGCAATTTCATGGTTTTTAAAGGGATAGTTCTCCCAAAAATTGTCATTCTGTCATTTACTCAACCTCATGTCGTTTCCATCCAAACCTGTATGATTGACTTTCTTCTGTGGAACACAAAATAATATACTTTTATTATATGAAGAAGAATGTTTTTGTCCATACAATGAAAGTCAGTGAGGTCCAAAACAACATTGGACCAGTGTTATTTTAGTATTATTTATGTAATATTAGAGATTTTATTCATATTTAGACTTTTTTCATTTTAAGTTTTACTTATCTTTGTGTGCTTTTGTTTTTTGTTTTTTATTATTTTTTGTTTTTTAATACTTCTATTTAGATTTAATAAAAAAAAAAAAAAAAATCTGTTTTAGTTTTAGTAACTTGAGCACTTCAACGAACTTTTTTTTTTCAGTTAAATAACTCATATGTGTGTGTGTGTGTGTATTAATTACTATATTTTGCTTGTAGATTTTTTTTTTTTTTTTCTGGTCCAGATATTGTAGTTATGTTATCTACCAGCAGGGGCCAATGGGTCATGCTAAGCAGCCAAATTTTTACTGCTTGGGCAAAGTACACAAAGGCAAATATTTTGGCAGTGTGAAGTCGTAATGGCGAGGCAATGTTGTAACCATGGATGCCCACCTTTGGGATGCCCCAATAACTCTGCTGACTGCGTTTTATGATGTCAGATAGCTCTGCCAGGTTGGGGCTGATGAAATGCATTTTTCTCTTTATTACATTACATGACTCCAGTCTCCAACTAACCTGATGGAGGCTTTTATATATGGACCTTCATAATGGGTGCACATTCATTGGTTGTGCTGGTCAGCAAGCCTTTGTTCCTGCCTTTTTAATTCTGGGGCAACTTCACTCTCAATCTCGTTTATAAGCTATTAAAATTTCCCTGTGCTTTAGATCCCTATAGCTCAAGGTGGATGTAAATGTTTGCCCTGGAGAAGCCATATCTGAGAAATAAAAAGAAGCAAAGCTTGTATCCAAACCATTATGGATGTCTCTTTTCATTCAGCATGTAATGGCTTACTGCAGATTCAATTCCCATTTGAGATTTTATTTTGTTTTACCGTGCAACAGAGGAAAATGATACGAAATCCATTACACATGCTCAATCAGTGGGAGAGACTAGACAGAGGACCTGGCCCAATGCAGACTGAGAAGCATATGGGAAATGTTGGACACACCAATAGGTTGAACTTTTACTTTGGGTTTATGAGAGGCGATGTCTTGTATTTGCAGCCAGCGAACCCTCACCAAAAGGTGAAGGAATAAACTAATCTGTTTATAACATGGGACAGGACTGAGTGTCAAACTTATAAAGTATTTGGATTGTCATATACTGTCTCATGGAGATTCTTCTTTTTTGTATTATTCATAGTGCTTTGTTTGCCAACTGAGATGTGCATTCCAGCTCTGTTCTGGACTGGTAAGAAGACCAGTGATCCACATGGATTTTGTAATACAGTGAGTGCCACTAGAGGGCAGAGTTGCTGACCTTGACTGAGCAACCAAACCCTGTTACATGGGAATGTGAGCCTGTGCCACTGATGCTGTGTGTACATGTGAGCAATTTTTAGATGACAAAGGCCTCTTTTCTTTTTACATACTCTAATACATTTTTAACATTGCAAGTTGTACACTGCAAAAAAAATTACTTCTTGATGAGCTTTATTAGTCTGACTTGTTGTCTAATCTTGAAACAAGTTCAATTTAATTGATTTGAAACTACATAAGATATTTAAGGGATAGTTCAACCAAAAATGAACATTCTTATTTATTCATATTTATTCTGTTGAACATAAAATAAGATATTCCTGGAGTGGTTTTAATGAATGTCCATACACTAAAAAATGTCCACCTCTTTCATTTAAAAAACTGTTCAGTTGAAAAAAAGTTCAGTTCAGTTGCTTTATAAGAGACTTTCAAATCTCATATAACTTATATAAAAAATGTTTTTTTATAATAATTGAATAATTTAAATTGCTTAAACATTATGATATTATAAATATGAACAATTATTTTGATGAGTTAAAGTAATGTAAAAGCATATGTTGTCATGACTTATTGATCATATACTTTTTTACAGTGCACAATGGAAGTCAATGTTAACCAAAACTGTTTGGTTGCTAATTTTTTTTTTTTTTACTCATCTTTTGTGTTCCACAGAAGAAAGTCAGTCAGACTACAGTAGTTTGGAACAACATGAGGATGAGTAGCCTAAATTATTAACAGCATTTTAAATTTTGGGTGAACTATCCCTTTCAGATTGGTTTCCATACATTTTATCTTGAATGCCTTTGCTATAATTAAAACAAGTGGGGGAAAATGGTAAGTGGATCTTGCTTCAAATATTTGGTATTTTTCCTGGACAATAATACAAAAATACCCATTAAGAATAGGAATTTTTGCTCTCAGTTTGAGTTATTTTTGGATGTTGTGGAAGTTTATGTGTTTATATGTACTTTGTGGTTTTGCTATGCCTGTGAGAAAAACTCTGTATACATGAATATTAGTTAATGTAACAAGAAACAATATTATAATTAACATTAACCAAGGTTAATAAATGCTGTTGCTCATTGTTAGTTTATGATCTCTAATCATGCATTAACTAATGCCTTAACTACTGGTAACCTGCTTTGTTTGGCATACGACCATGTCATAGCTCTGCTATTTTGAACATTTCAGTGCTGGCAGAAAGGTGCTTCTCATCAGCCGTGTGGTAACCTTCATACCTCTTTTATTTGGTGTTCACTTTAAACAGGAAATGAAGGAGAATACCACTCGTGCTCTGGGAAAAGCATATGCCTGACCGTGTT